ATAGTAAAAATTAGCATACAAAATAATATATATATATATATATATATATATATATATACAGATATAAATATATTATTTATATATATATATATATTTTAACTTTTACCTGAACGTTCAGGTAACTTAATTATATATGAATTACAAATAAATAACGACAACACCATATAACCATATTAACATTATATATATATATATATATTACAATATATCATTCATTATTTTTTTTCTTTAAGGATATATAATACATTTAATATACACATATATTTTGTATTAAAAAAAAAAAGACATATTGCAAAACTAAAAACTTACAACATTTTTTTTTTTTTTTAAATTTTTATTACCTAGACGATTACGATCTTTTTCATTCTTTGAAAAAATCTTGCCCGCTAGGGATTACACAATAAATTGATATATAACTGTTTTTTTTAATATTTATAATTTTGTTATTTATTTTTTTGTTAATACTGATTTTTAAAATGTGTATACACAACAATAAATAGTTTATGCATAATGAAGATATAAAATAAAAAAATATATACACACATATATATATATAATATATATATTACATATGCATAATTTTTTATTCAATTTTTTTTAAATGTCTTTATCGCACGAAGCATGTATATTACTACTAATTTTATTCATAAAAAACTTATAAATAAAATAAAAATACACATGTGATTAAATTATAAAATTTATTTACCCTTTTTACAAGTGAATATATAGGAAAAAAAATTGTCTATAAACACATGAGGTGTATATATATTTTCTTTCCCTTCAAAAAGGGACTACAAATAAATATAAATATAAATATATATACATATATTTTATATGTTAATATTTTAAAAAAAATTCATATTTTTATTCTTTTATTTTTTTTCAGTCGTTTTTTTTTCATCTCTATATTATTTCAGTAACACAGACCAAGTTCTTCATATCATCATTAAAAAAATAAAAGTATAAAATATTATAATGGATCATATAAATATTATTCCATTAATATAATTAACTGTTTTATAAAAAAGGTAATAATATATATATATATTAAAATATATTTATGTATAACTGTTTGATTAGAAAACGAGAAAATTTGAATTAAAGGTTTTCAAAATTCAAGCTGGAAAATCATAAAATTTTTAATCTAGCAAGAAATTATTTCTACTCTTTATTTTAAAAAAATAGTAGAACTCAGAAAAATCTTGCAAAACAATCAAAAATTTACACTTTTATTAATTTTTTAACTAATTAAAAATATAATATAACATGTATTTTTTATATGCTTCATAAAATTTATTTTGTAATAAATACACATATACAAAAGTTCATATCACATATTCATATATTCTTATCACAATTATATATATATATATATATATATTTATTTATTTATTTATTTATAAATTAATATTCTTTTTATATATTTCGTACACAAAAAAAAAAAAAAAAATCAGTTTTTTTTTTTTTTTTTTTATCATCATAATGCTCTTCAGACCCGAAAGGCTTTATATTATGAAAAGGTTGTCATCATTTTTTTTTTTTTTTTTTAAAGAAAATATAACATTTTATTACATACATATAATATAATATAATATAATAATAATACATAATTTTTTAAAATGAATATAATAACAATATATCTATCGTTCTTATTTATAAATAATTTATTATAAAAGGGGAAATATATTTTATATACATATATTATTAAAGCAAAGCAAAAAGGATTTTTATAAATTTTAAAAAATTATTTTAAAAAAATATAAATTTTAAAACATATTTATAATTTTTTAATAATTGAAAATATTAGATAAAAAACAATTTATTTAAATGTATATAATATATATTATAATTTTTTTTTTAATTTAAAAGAAAATAATAATTTTGTTACGATCATCTTAAAAAAAAAAAAAAAAAATTAGATATATATAAATTTATATTTTGTAATATATATATTTTTTTTTAAAACAACTGTTACTATAAAATTTATTATATAAAGCTATTATTAATATTATATATATATATATATATATTATATTTTGTAAATATTGCCGGTTCATTTATAGGAAAAAAAAAAAAAATCCAGTGCATAAATTTTTTACATATATATATTATATATATATAATAATAAATGTATAATTTTTATCACATATTATTAAAACTTTCCTATAATATTTAAATTATTTCCTTATACATATATATATATTTTATAAACATATGATTTTTTTTCCCTTTCAATAATGACCCTATTAGAAATATATTATTTTTTTTATGTAGTATTTATAAGTTTAAATAAAATATATATTGTATCTTATGTTAATTTATTTAAGCAAGTAATATTTTAAAAAATATATATAGCAGGTATGTTATAATATAATTTTTTTTAAAACTTTTTCCCGCATAATATTTAAAAAAATATATTTATATATATATATATATATAATATTTATATATATTATTTATCTTTCCTTAATTTTAAAAAAATAAAAGTATTTTCCCTAATATTCCTTTTTCTTTTATATATCACATCAATATTTTAACCACGTGAATAAGAAAAGAAAAATTAATATTTTATTTACACTTATATATATATATATATATATATATTTAAAGTTATATTTTAATAAAATATATAAAGTGTGTTTGATTTTAATTAATAAAATAAAAATTTGTAAAAATATTTTAAAATAAATGTGAAAAAGTTAAAAATTGGATCATTTCTTTTTTTTTTTTTAATATTAAATAAACATATATAATATTATATATATATATATATATATGAAATAATAATAATAAAGTTATATAATGAACATATATATGATATCATATAATATTAGGGTATTAAAAAAAAAAAAAAAAATTATACATATTTATAATATATAATAATAATATATGTTTTTTTTGGGTTTTGTTTTATTATTATTATTTTTTTTTTTTAACAAATTAAACTATTCTATTATTCCATTGTTATTTTTTTGTATAACATCTGCTGATATACTCTTTTTGTATTTTCTTTTAAAAAAAAAAAAAAAAAAAAAAAATACGTAAAAATATGAAAAACTTTTACTGCAATAAATGTGTAGGTAAGATATCTTCTTTTGTTCTTTAAAACACTAAAGAGCATAATATCGCGTTACTTATATATTTCCTAATAAGATTAAAAAAAAAAATATATATATATATATAATATAGTATACTAAAAAGGTCACATACATATATATATGATATATATGATATATATCATATATTTTATTCTATACACATTGAAAATAATTATGTTCAGATTAATTAATTATCGTCAACATAAATATTCGGACGGCACTTCCTTGAAGTTTTCATCATTATATAATTATTAACAATAAACATATTAAACTTTTATTTTATTTTTTTTACTTTCATTAACATACAATACAAATATATATATTATATAGATACACATATATGTATATAACATGTAATGAATTCAAAATAATCGTTTCATAAAATTAGAATATTTGTATTCATAAATACGGCCCACAAAAACAAATTATCAATTTTTTCTATGGTTCCTAAAATTATGAAATCGATTTAGCTGATTTCTGGCAGTAAACAGTAAATGAAGAAAAATTAGTTGCCACTGTGGTAAATCAGCATTTATATTATGCACACACACAAACCCCCAAAAAAAAAAAAAAAAAAAATATGAACATGTACATAAAAAAAATACAAAAATTACCTGAACGGTCATATAAAATATGTAAATAAATAAATAAAAAATAAATATTCACATATATATATATATATATATATATATATAATTATATAATTATATGGCTAGCACAGAATATATAATTATATGTACACGTGCCAAAATAAAAATATAAAACATGTACATATATACATATATGTATATATATATATATATATTTTTTTTTTTCATTATTACCTTATAATTTGGCAGATATTTCCTTCTTTTTGGCTTCTTCAATTTTTCTTGCTTTATCTTTCATTTTTTTCAATAACATTGATTTAGCACTCATTTTTTGTCCTCCCCATTTTCTTCTCAAATCAACATTATCGTTAAAGTTTTCTTTACAAACTTTTGCGAAGTAGTCTAATTTTTCTTGGTCTTCTTTTTTTACATTTTGAAGACATACTGCAGTTGCTGTTTTTTTATGTACAAGCTTTCCTAAGGTAGCTTTGTCTTTAACAATACAGTAAGGTACTTCCTTCAATCTGCATAAAGCCGGAAGAAATAAAACTAATTCAATTGGGGATACATCATTAGCTATAACAACAAGATTAGCCTTTTTATTCTCAACTAATTTGGTAATATGATTTATTCCGTATTTAAGAAATAGTGGCTTCTTATCTTTTGTAACGTTATTGTTTAAAGCCTCTTTAGCTTTATTTAACAATCTCTGTTTTTTATCGGTTTTGGATTCAGGTTTATAAGCCTTTAAAAAGTTCAATAAATCTTGTGTCTGTATGGAGAAAAAGAAGAATAAAAAATTATAAATATATATATATATATATATATATAAACATAATATACGTATTTATAAGATATAAAGAAACACATTAATATCTATCATTTGTGCATTTACTTGACTCTTAGGGAGTGTGTGGTTAAATTGGTTAATTGAAGGGGGAACCTTTAATCTTTGTAACAATATTTTTTTCTTTCTTTGTATTCTTATATATCTAGGCCATTTAACATATTTCGATAAATCTTTTTTTGGACGTATTCCAACACCAATAATATTGCTTCTCTTTTTTTTATCAAATATTAGGGGGTTATCTCTAAGTCCCGTTTTCTTTTCCTTCTTTATTTCTTTTTTCACTGTTACTTTTGTTGATAAGGGGCAAGGTGCTGGAGTTTTTTTAGAGGGTTTTTTTTGTTTTTTCTTATCTTTAGCCTATTATGAAGAAAAAGAAAAGGGTATGAATATTGTATATAGAATATATACTAAATATATATTAAATATATTACATATATATATATATATATATATATTTATTCTCATGTTACATATGATGTTTTTTTTTTTCTTCATTATACAGAAATGAACTTTAAAAAATACACTTTTTACAAATATCAAAATGTAAATAAATTATATAATTATAACATTATTATTATTACAATTTTTTAATATCTTACCATTTTAAAATATAAATTATGATAATAAAATTTTTTACAAGTATAAAATTATTATATATAAAAAAAAAAAAAAAAAAAAAAACATATATTATATATATAATATATATATTATATGCAATTCTTTCCCTTTGTATGTTTCTTTTTTTTCTTTTTATTTCAGGCTTATAATAAATAAAATAACAATTTTTTAAAAATATAAATAAAATGCCTTTTTTTTTAATTCTTTTAAAGTTCAAGAATAAATAAATAAAAAAAAAAAAAAAAACTTATATTTTATATTATGTTCTTCAAATATGTAATTTTTTTTTTTTTAATTTTACATATATATGTATATATAATATATATATATATTATTAATACTAATTAATTTTTAATTTTGTGGGTTTAATGTTACATATATTATAAATATATATTATATTATATTATATTATATTATATTATATATATGTTGCATATAATTTATAATAATATGATAATAATTTTTTTTTTTTTTTTATAAAATCACAAATCAAGGTATTTCTTCTCCTTTTCCTTAAGAAGCGCCTATATAAATCTATTTAATCTTGTGTTCAAGTTAATAAACATATATATATTACGTTATTTATATATATATATATATATATGCTTAAAATCTTTATTATAAAATATTTATGTATATAATAATATATGTAAATAATATATAATGGTATAATTATTATTATAATATTTTCTTTCATATATTATAATATTTTAATTAATATACTATAAAATAAAACTTATATATTTCGCTTATTATTTTTACATTACTATATTATAATATATATATTATATATAAATAATATTGATATATCTATATATATAGCCAATAAATACATTCACTTAAACAAATATAAATATATATATATATATAAGTGATTCAAGCGGTGATACATATAAGGGATAAAAGAATATATACGTATCATTTATTCATATATATATTATAAATTTAAGGATAAGTATTTTAAAAAATTATTACGGGCTAAATAATGTGGCAACACTTGAATTGTATGTATGTTATATATATTATATATATATATATATACAATATATATGTATAATTAATATGAGTTGTTACAGCTTTTTTTTTTTTTTTTTTAATATATATAATATATATATATATTTATATAACATATTTATATTTTATATATAATAGTAGTTACACAATAATATATATAATTTATATTTTTCTGTTTAACCAAAAAAAAAAAATAAGGGTCTCTCTTTTTCAATTTAAATCCTTTTTCCTTTCTAAATATAATATTATATATATATATATATATTATATTAATATTTTATTTTTATAGATTCACGATTTTTCCTTTTTGTTATTAATAATAAAATATAAAAAATAAACAAGCGGGTATTAAAAGTAAGCAAAGTGCATATAAAAAAATAAAGCATATTTATATGTAATATTATATATATATATATATATATATATATTTTTCATTATATCCAATATGTCATTATATATTTATGATAAATAAAAAAATGCTTTATATTATATATATAATATAAATATTCATAAGCCGATACATATTAAAATTATATTATATATAAAAATCACCAAGTGTATATATTTAAAATATATTTTATATAGCATATATATTATATATATATATATATATATATATATATATATGTATGTATTATTTTTGTTATAAAACAATCCATTATCCATTTATTACCTAAAGAATTATATTATATATAATATGTATATATTTTTTATATATATATTTGTGTTTAAAAAAAAAAAAAAAAAAAATCTTGATTTATATTAATAAAATTTTATCATATATATAATATATTATATTATATATAATACATACAGAAATTTTTTTTTTTTCTTCTCTATTAATTTTTTCCCTTTTATAGATGTTAAATAAAAAAAAAATTATATATATAATTATTTGTTTCTTTTATATATATATATATATAATATATATATATATATAGATATTTTTAATATATTTTTTCTAAAGGTTTATATTTATTTGAAATAATATATTTTGACGTTGAAAAGGAAAAAAAAATTTTTTTTTTTTTATTTTATTTTTTATTAATGTTATATTATAATATTATATATAATATTGTTATATTGTATATGTAGTAAAATATATTTATATATATTTTTCATTTAATAAAATAATATATACTAATTTTTTATAATATATGTAAATATTTCCATTTTTGACTCTTTTTTTTTTTTTTTATTTTATTTTTTTAAATATCATAATAATAATTATTATATTATTATGTAATGATTTATTTTATATAATTACAAAGAAGTTTACCTTTTTTTGTAAATAATAAAATACATATCAGCGTATTATATTATATAATTTTTTTTTTTTCAAATAGTTTATATATAAAATAAAATAATAAAAAAAAGAAAAAGAAAAAATATATTGTAAATTAAAATGGCATATGTAAAGGTTGTTAAAAATAAAGCATACTTTAAAAGGTACCAAGTGAAATATAGAAGAAGAAGAGGTATGGAAAAATTAAAAAGATAAAAATATAAATAATATATATATATATATATATATATATTTTATGTATTTGTATGCCCCCTTATGTGTTGCCGTTTTTTGTATGTATGCCTTAAATAAATGTTAACAATAATTCATGATGTAAAAATGTTATGAGGATATTTTTATTCGAGGCTAAAAAAAAATGTTTATGCAATGATAAAACGAGTTAAGCATTTTTTTTTTTGAAGTTGCCGACTCACCTGACATTGGAACAACCAAAATTATTGTTAAAATTATTGTTAAAATTATTGTTAAAATTATTGTTAAAATTAGTGTTATCTTTTTTTTTTTTTTTTTTTTTTGTGTTTATAATTCTCTTATATATTTAATAATGCTGTGTATATATATTATATATTAATATGATATGATTTATTGAATATATATATATATATATATATATATATATATATATTTTTTTTATTTTATTTTATTGTAGAGGGAAAAACCGACTACAGGGCTAGGAAAGCTTTAATATTACAAGACAAGAATAAGTATAATGCTCAAAAGCTTCGATTTGTTGTTCGTAAAACAAATAGTCAGGTAATATGTCAAATAGCTTGTGCTCATATTGAAGGAGATAAAATATTAGCAGAAGCAAAGTCAAAAGAATTGATAAGATATGGTATCCCTGTCGGATTAAAGAATTATGCAGCTGCTTATGCCACCGGTTTATTGTGTGCACGTCGTTTTTTAAAATCTTTAAATTTAGATACTCAGTTCTTAGGTGTTGAGAAAGTAACAGGAGATATAGAAAATAATGAAGATAAAGAAGATGATGAAGGAAGAAAACCAATAAAAGCATTTTTAGATGTCGGAATAACAAGAACAACAACAGGAAATCGTGTATTTGCTGCATTGAAAGGAGCTTGTGATGGTGGTTTGAATATTCCTCATGGAAATAATAGATTTCCAGGTTCCAAAAATGAATTCAATCCTGAGCAGTTAAGAAAAAATATTTTGGGTATCCATGTAGCTGAATATATGAAAACATTACAAGAAGAGGATAATGACAAATACAAAACTCATTTTAATGATTATTTAAAAAATAATATAGGAGCTGATGATATTGAACAAATGTATTTAAATGCACATCAAAAAATTAGGCAGAATCCAGAAAAAGAATCAAAGGATACAAAGAACGCTAAAAAATTTGTATCTAAGCATGAAAAACCTAAGAAGCTTAACGCCAAACTTAGAAAAAAGAGAGTCAAGGAAAAGGTAAAAAATAAATAAACAAAATGGAATGTACATATATATATATATATATATGCCCCTGTTATATACATTCATTTATACATAAACTTATATGTATATTAAAACACATGGGCGTGTAATCCACAACATATAAAAGATTTTTAATGATGAGAAAAACAGACCTGATTTGAAAAATAATTTGAGAATAAATACAACGCTCCTGAAAAAATCATTTATATATAAATATTTGTGAAGCAACGAATAAATAAATAAATAAATAAATATATATATATATATATATATATATATATATATATATATTTATATTTATTTATGTATATATTTTATTTTTATTATTTATTTGTTTATATATATTTTTTCTTTTTCTTTTTTTTTTTTAGTTGGCTTTATATGTCGAAAAATTACAATAAGGATATAAAAGGATAACGACAAACCATTACCATATAAAAATAGTAAGTATATTTGTTGTGTGATTATATACAGATGTAGAATCAAAAAAAAAATAAAAATAAAAAAAAAAAAAAAACATTTTTTTTTTTTTTAAATGGATAAGATGTATTATATATTATATATATATGATGTATAATGTATTTATTTGATTTCTTATTTTTACCAAAAGAGAAAAAGAAAAATTTATATATATATTTTATATATGTATATTTTTTTTTTTTTTTTTTTTTTTTTTTTTTAATATTAATTAAAATTAAAATATATACCATTTATATTACATATATGTATATATTATTATAAACAAGACTTATAATTTATTATTAAAGCATATATAATTATTTAAATATATATGTATATATATATATATATATATATATATATATATATATATAATATGAATATATAGGTTAAATTAAATAAAAAAGGGGAGAAGATTTGTATGCTATGATGAACGAATAAAAAAAAATATTATTCTTATTATTAGATAATTATTGTTTATTCGTTCAAAGTATAAAATTGTGATATAATAATATGATATATTTATTTTTTTTTTTTTTTTTTTTTTTTTTTTAATGATGACTGAATAAATAATATGTGGGTAATTTACGTCTGAAAATTATTGATGATTATTATAGTATCTGAAAAAAAAAAAAAAAAAAAAAAAAAAAAAAAATTTAAATATCATTCCATATCACATTTTATAACCCTTCATATAAATATATAAATATATATATATATATATATATAATGATTGATATAGGGTTTAATTTTGTTAAAACATGAATAAATATTTTATACAATTAATATATGGTTGTAGATAAAAAGAAGAAGAAAAATAATAAGTATTTTAAGGATGTATAATATTTCTTTTCATTTTGTCCTTTTTTTTTTTTTTTTTTTGTATATGATGAATAAAAAAAAATTATTTAACTTTCGTTCTTCTGCATCTTTTGACGTGAAGATAAATTTTATATCTGATACAAAAAAAGAGAAAAGAAAATATACATACGTATAATATATTATATATATATATATATATATATATTATATTGAATTAAATATATTATTTATATGGTAAAATATTAGCTCAAGATGATATATATTTATAATTTATAATTATTTTCTTCCTTATGTTGATATTATGGAAGTCATTTTTATTATTATAAAAAAGGATTATTTTATAAACATAAATAATAAAATCATGTTAAGTTTTTAAAGTATATATATATATATATATATATATATATATATATATATATATATATATATATATATATATATATATATATATATGTATGTATGTATGTATGTATTTAATTTATATAAAAATTACAAAAACAAGAATGTAGCGAAATAATATGTACATATATATAAATAATGACATGTCATGTTAGGTAATTATTATTTATGTGTACGTAATATTAAAAAAATTGAACAAAAAAATAAAATGAATATATATACAATCATATATATATTAATTTTTTGGCTTGTGTGATTAATTCTACTCATCGTACTTTTCAATGCAATGTATATGAACCGTAATGTTCTCTGAAAAAAAAGCAAAACTTTTTTCTAAAATGGGATTGTTGCACACCTTACAAAATCTATAAAAAAAAAAAATATATATATATATATATATATATATATATACATATATACATATAATATATATGTACAAATGCTTATTTGATAAAATATAAAAACAGGTGAAATGTATTTATTTTAGTTATATTTTTTACATTTTATCCTTTATAATTATTTTTTGCTCGTTTTTTTTAATTTTTTCGTAAGAGACGTTCAAATAATTACTCTTAATTAAATTATGATATATTTGTAGGTTCATGTGTGTATTCATTTTTTTTTTTAAATTAAAATTAATAAATTGTGATATATCTGATATATTCCAATATTTTGGTATTATATTATAAATATATATATTATCTAAATCGTTATGATTTGCATATTTATTTAATATATAAAGAATATTATTTTTATATTGTTCTTTTTTTATTATATTAATTTCTTCATTATAATATTTATCTAGATATACTTTAATAAGTAAAAAAAATAGCCCTCCTGTTTTCGGCTTACAATTATTATATACATGAAAATGTTCTAATGGATCTGGGTCTTTATTTCGATGTTTCCCTTTTAATAATTTTTCTTGGGCACTTGTTTTTATAATTTTTTTTTTCTTCCCTATATTTTTATTATTACCACTTGTAGTATTATCACTTGTTATACTACCACTTTTAGTATTATCACTTTTAGTATTATCACTTTTAGTATTATCACTTGTAATATTACCACTTTTAGTATTATCACTTGTAATATTACCACTTGTAATATTACCACTTGTAATATTACCACTTGTATCATCACCATAACTTATACTGTCACTCGTATAGCCTTCACCTGATTCATTTGAGCACGTTTCATAATAATTTAAAATATCATCATCAAGCTGGTCGGTTTCATTATCTGCTTCTTCGTCTTCTTGATGATCCTTAATCAAATGTAACATATAATCATATTCATTTTGTACTTGTAAGTTTTTATTTTCTTGAGCAATTTTTTTTTGTTTTTTTATTATATTTTTTTCGACCGTTTCTTGTACATACGATTTGTTCAAGGTTTCATTTTTTTTCTGGAATAATAATTTTGAGGGTATATTTTTATTCATGCTAAAATATATATATTTGTGATATTCATTTATTATATATTTAATAAAGCGTGCGTTTTGGGTTTTATTTTTTCTTTTGTTGAAATTTTTTTTTTCTGCGGAATTTATTTTACGATCTATAAACTTTTTGAATATATTATAATATATATTTTTATCATTATTATAAATCCCGTTGTATAACTCTTGGTATTTCTCTTCTTTAATTTTAGAAACTTGTTTTTTTAATATGAAGTTATAATAAAGGCAGTATTTTTCGCACACCCTGAAGTTTTGGTCACCTAGGATGTGAAGACTTTCGCTGAAGTGAAAAGAGAAAGGAAAAAAAATATATTCACATGTATTAATATAAATATGTATTTTTATATATATGTATTTTTATATACATGTATTTTTATATATATGTATTTTTATATATATGTATATATATTAATATTTGTCTCCTTACTAGTGACGGTGTAATTTTCCGTAGAGGAGGACCTTTAACAAATAAAAGGATGTGTGTTTTATAAGACCAGTAAGATAATCTATATGTATAGGATACTCATATTGCATAAAGTTTATTAATTTTTTTTGCAATTGCATTATATTATTTTTTGTATGTGCATTGTTAATATATAACTCTATTAATATTGTATTTATATTTTTATTATATTTATCATATTTTAAATAATGTATAATATATTTTTGTAAATAATATTTAATTTTATCATTTTTTTTATCTATTTGTATCATTTTTTTAAAGGTGGTTATAATTTCTTCTGGAGATATTAAAATATTTTTTTTTTTTAAAAAATGGAAGAAAAAATGTTCATTATATTTTATTAAGAATGGAAATGCATATTCAAATAATTTTTTTATTTTTTCTTGTTGAACATTTAATAAATGTATATGATCATTTAATATAATAAGAATATTATATATTTTTTGTAATGCATATTGAAAATGATTATTTTCTTTATCTGATACATGATTTTTTTGTATATTTTCTTTCTCAAAAATTTTAATCCAGTTAAAATATTTTTCTTCATTAAGTTCTTTTAAATTAAAAAAAGTGTATTCATTATTTTGTTCGACATTTTTATGTATGTCATTGTATATATATTTATCATTATTATAACCATCATCACCATTACCATTAACAATACCATCACCATTACCATTAACAATACCATCACCATTACCATTAACAATACCATCACCATTACCATTAACATTACCATTAACAATACCATTAACATTACCATTAACAATACCATTAACATTACCATTAACAATACCATTAACATTACCATTAACAATACCATTAACATTACCATTAACAATACCATTAACATTACCATCATAATCATCATCATCATCATCATCATCATCATCATCAGTTTTTTTTTTATCATCATTTTTTTTATTGCTTATACTATTACCTTCCTTTCGTCTTACTTCATATTGATATACATTAAATTCTCCTGTTGCTTGAATGACATTATACTTTTCATTATAATAATGAAAAAAATAAGAACATATTTCAATAGCCTCTTCAAAATATCCCAATCTTATATATATAAAAATAATTTCTACAAATTTACCTTCTTTTTTTAAGAATTGTATACATTCTTCTAAATCAATATGTAATTTATTGGTTTTCATAATAAAATGAAAAAAATGCTTATTATAATTATTTATAGTTAATAATTTAATTAATAAATTGTCTATAAATTGTTCTATGATATATATATTATCATTAACATCTTTATCATTATCATTATTCTTTTTATATGATAATTTATACATGTCCTTATTTTCTAAAATATAATCTCTTTTTAATAATAAAAATTTTAGTAAACACTTGTTGGCTGTATGTAAAAGATGTTTCTTTATTTCGACATCTCTTTGTGCAGATGAAGAAATATGAGAGTTTTTATTATCCTGATATTTACTATGAATATAAGTATTATTTTTTTCACTATCATTATTATTGTTATCATCACTATTATTGTTATCATCACTATTATTGTTATCATCACTATTATTGTTATCATCACTATTATTATTATCATCACTATTATTATTATTATTATTATTATCACTATTATTATTATCATCATTATTATTGTCATTATAATAATCATTAAACATGTTGTCAGATATGTAATAATCTGGCTTATCTTTTATATAATTTTCATAGTTCCTGTCTATTAATTCTTTAATACTACATGGGAAAGGCAGAAAACATTTAAATTGTTTATTAATATTTTCTTCAATAACTTTATTTTCTATCATTTTTTGTAGAATGTGTTTATGAGATAAGGGTACGTAATCAATCCAAAAAAATAAAAGAAAAAATATATTAATATTTACTTTTTCAAAATATATGAACGAAATTGCAAAATTTAAATTTTTAAAAAAATAATATGCACATGCTTTAATATATTCAGAGAGAATATCATATTTATCTTGTTTATTTTCAAATGCAAAATTATCTATTAATACAAAACCTTTTTTTGTTTTTCCTTGTTCTATACATTGTGGTAGATACTGATATATTTCTAGACATGTAAGAATGTGTAAACAATCTTTATTAATAAAATATAAATTATTATATAATGAATTATAAATGGATATATTATTAGTTAACATTTGATTATTTTCAAATAAATATTTATTAAGTAATATATTCTTCTTATTATTTTTATTATGATCATATATATCATTTGTTGCTAAACCAGATAAAATGTCATTTACTATAATCGATTTAGATAAGATTCCTTCATTGTCCATTTTTAATAAATTCGTATTCTTTTTTTCTTCATATAATTTTATACCTTTATTAGAAGATGTCCATTTCATTTTATATTTTTGGTTAGATGATATAATATCTGTATTATCTTGATCATCATTAAATAAAGACATAAGACCATTGTAATTTGTAACATTTGTATAATTGATAACAATATCAGCAATATAAT